CCAGAGAGCAGGACCTAGATTCAGGGCATCAGTTAGCTAATGGCAGGGTCCTGCTCCCTAAATCCGTCTTTGGCGCTCCACAGCAACGGGAGTGGGTTTCAGAAGATGGCAGAGAAAAGAGAGGGTAGTGAAGTCCAAGAGTCCAGCTTTGGCGCCAGGTGGCTTAAGATCACATCTTGGTTCTGCAAGTAAACAGGCAGTGGGGGCTTTCATTGGCAGCATGGCAGCTCAAAGGGTTGTCTATCCCATTCTGTGAAGTGAGGTGTAATACCTCCATGACTGTGGAGGAAGAAACAGAATAGAAATGCTTGCAGGGAACACCCACTTGTGCACTGGGATCTAGCCCTCACCTCTCCCAGAACTCTCCCTAAATGGGACACCTCTGTCAAGAGCTCCTTGGACCCCATCTACCCCTAATTATATGAGCCTTGCTCTTGACTTCATAACCTTGCAAAGTCTCTTTATGACAGGGCTCAGGTTGTCCTGGAAGTTACTATGTAGCCTAGGCTGACTTTGAACTGAGACAATCTTGAGTCTCTCACTAAGCTTGAAGATTAGTGAGAACTCCCGTGCCCAGTTCCACAGCACTTGTCTTGTTTTGCACCCATGCACTCCTGAACTGGCTTCTCCCACCCTAAGGTCCAGACCTTCCTCTTGTCCCCAGAGTTAGCTTCTTGGGGGCTGTTGTGTTCTCCATATGCACTCTGAGTTTAGTTGTGGTTTCTTCCTGGTCCTGTACTAAGTTTTTTCACACAACATTGACTGTTAAGGCCAGGGCCCCAACTCTGGTGGGTCAGAGCACCTCCCATACACCTTCACTATTCCTCTGGAGGTCCTGCCCTTCATAGAGATAGAGAGGGCAGACAAATGCTCTGAATACAGCTTGTGGAGTTCTGCTTGCAAATCGTAATTCCTGTTCCTTCCCAGCAAGAAGCTGAATGCACCTGTCTTGCAGTCTTCAATATCCCTGCTTCAGCCCTCAGAACATTCTAGAATCTAGAGCTAGGCCTTGGCTGCCTCTCCCCTCCCTGCCATTGATGCTTCAAGAGATGGTTTGGTCACTTTAACTTTCAGTCTTTTGGATCAGGCCTTCCACACTAGGCCCTACCCTAACCATCTGTTGTGGTGCCTTCCTTCTTCCCAGGAAGCCAGTCCTGCCCAGTTTTCATGGCTAATGTGTGCTTGTTTCAGATAGGTGGCATCCCCACGAGGTCAGACGTGTGTGAATATGTAAGACAGTTCCCTCTTCTAGAACCTTCTGCTCAAGAACAAAGGTATCTCAGCTTCCCCCACCAAGCCAGAACTACATGAAAAGCCCAGAGAGGGAGGTCCGCCCTGGTCTTGGTAGGAAGTAGGCCAGCAGGAGCTTGGAGGCAGAGCCAGCAATGAGGTATGGCAGAAAACCTACTACTAGCATGTGGCATCCAACGTGGACCGAAGAACTTCCACTTAAAACTTAACAAAAGCTTAAGAAAGGATTTTAGAAACTACAGAACAGAGGTAAGCAAGGCTTCTTGGTAGCAGCATTTTTCTCAGTTGGACTCTGTTTTGCTATAGACAAGCAGAGATTTGCACTGCTCCTTTAAGGGAGATTTCCTGACTCAGCATAAGTGGCAAAAAAACAGCAAGGCTTTCAAAGAGCTCTGCTAACAACTTAATGTTGTATAGGAGAGCTGGCAATGGCAGTGACCACATCTCCAAGCCGGCAACATGCTGCTAGATGGCAGCGTATACCAAGGCAGTGAGCACAGTGAGTAAAGGTGCTGCCATCTTGGATAGACCACAGCTAATATAGTTGTGACCTTCATTTTGGCAATGTTGTTGTTTACCAGATAAAAGACTCCTGTGTAAGGAGTAGGTTTTCCTCCCGCCGCTGGTCTTGTCCCGCCACCGCACCAGCCCCAAATAACACACTGAGACTCTGTATTTGATAAAATGCTGTTGGCTAGTTACTTGTTTCTTATCGGCTAGCTCTGTCTTAAGTATTAACCCATTTCACGTGGTCTTACCGGAGAGCCGGCTGGTGTCCTGCTCTCTCCAGACTCTCCATCTTGACCCCTTTACTACTTCCTCTTTCCTCCTTGTCTCCTAGTTCTGCCTATCTTGCTTTCCTATTGGCCAACAGTGCTTTATTTATTAACCAGTATGAGAAACATATTTACAGAATGACATCTCCCATCACTCATGGCCAGAAAAAGACAAAGATTTACAGTAAAGACAGATTCAGACTAATAAAAACCGCTAAAGGTTTAAAATATATGTAGGCTTGGAAGAGAAAAATAATAAAATGGTTTAAAAAAGACAGCGAGGAGCTGGGTGTGGTGGCACATACCTTTAATTCCAGCACTCGGGAGACAGAGGCAAGCAGATCTCTGTGATTGCAAAGAAAACCTGGTATACAGAGTTAATTCCAGAACAGATAAAAGTTACACAGAGAAACCCTGTCTCAAAAAATTAAAAAATAGAAGTAGAAGAAATAGAGTAATAAAAAAGCCACGTAAAAATGGAAAGCACAGAGGAACTTTGGATACTATATGCTGTTCTGTTATCTTTAAATTGTTTGACTGCTGAGGAAATAACTGTTAAAAGAAATACTGCTGGATTAATTCAATTTATATATTTTAAAAATGCTTTGACTTCAAAATTTAAGTCTAAGGACAGGTTACTGGGGAAAAGGATTTCTATTTTTGTTTCCACATAAAATGAAAAGCTGTGGATTCCTTCCAGACTAACATGGTTTGATCAAGCCAGACCCCCTGAAACAGCTTGAACAAGGCAGCCTTGCAGACTACAGCAAGGATTTCTGTGTCTTCTTAGGATCCTCATGACAGTGCCCCCTACCAGCAGGAAGTAGTTTGGAAAGAACTATGCCCAAATTCCCAAATATTGTCTATAAATGTTTGTTTTCATTTAAATTGAGTTGGTTATAAATGGTTAATGACCACAACCAATCTTTTTAAAGGTAAAAAGGGGATTATGGTATAGAAATGAATAGTTTGTTTTCAAATGGATTTTCATTTATTGATACAAATTTAAGGTCAATTTTGTGATATGTATATTTCTCTTCTTGTTTAGGTATTGTGTTTATATAGCTCATTTAGAAATGTAATGTATAATTTAGTACAGATTATAGATAGTTACCTATGATAGTCAAAACTTATAGCTAAGTTAGTTGGGATTTCTAGATATATACAGATGTATTTGAGTTAAATAGTCATTCTTTAGGGGCTGGAGAGATGGCTTAGAGGTTAAGAGCACTAGCTGCTCTTCTAGAGGTCCTGAGTTCAATTCCCAGAAACCACATGGTGGCTCACAACCATCTGTCATGAGATCCAGTGCCCTCTTCTGGTGTGTAGGCAAACATGCAGATGGAACACTGTATAAGCAATAAAAATAAGTAAATAAAAATTAAAGAAAAAAAAATAAAAAAAAATAGTCATTCTTTAAACCTTTCAAAGATCTACAGAATATGGCATTTAAAATGGTTTAGGGTTTTTCTTCACAGTGAGACATAACTGCTCCTGGAAACACCACTTGTGGCAGAAAGGAAGATGGACATCAAAGAAACTGGTTATGAAGTTTACTTCCAATATGGCAAGACTAGCCATTTGGACAAGATACTGCTCTTGTCTGGACTGTTTGACTTTATGCTGTATAAACTGGACATGCAGGACCCACAGGAAAGTGACTGCTGATACAAGATGGACATTGCTACAGGGTTCCTGCTTCATGGAAGAGTCTGCCAGACAGTCTGCAGGACACAGAGAAAAGTGACTGACAAACTGCCAATACAAGTGGACAGTTTAAACTTTCCTGCTTTGCTGAGGAGTCTGCCAGATACACTATGGCCTATGGGCTGAAGATGGAGCATTACAGAAGAACTTCATGTGACTGACCAGGCAAGATGTCTCTGTCATTTTTAGAATTTATATATTATCCTTCTGTGGTCTTTGAAAGAGTTGAAGACAGGTAGTTATGGTTATAGTTTTCCTTAGTTAGGATTAAATTTACATATAAGACTTTAGACTCACAAAGATAGGATGACAGAATATTTTCTTTAAATCTTACTAAATGTTAATGGACTAAATATTGTTAACCGTGATTCTTATTTGATAACTGTTGTGTGATGTATTTTGCTATGTTAAGGTTAAAACCCTTCGTTTTATTTTAGACAGAAAAGAGATGATGGGAGATGTCATTCTGTAAATATGTTTCTCTTATTTGTTAATGAATAAAGCACTGTTGTCCATCCAATAGGAAAGGAAGATAGGTGGGACAAGAAGACTAGGAGACCAAGATGGACGACAGAGAAGAACGCCAGCCCCTCTCTCCAGTAAGATAAGACCACGTGGCAGTACTTAGATTAATAGAAATGGGTTAATAATTAAGACAGAGCTAGCCGGTAAGAAACTAGTAACTGGTCTACAGCATTATATCAAATACAGAGTCTCTGTGTATTATTTGGGGCAGGCATGGCAGTGTGACCAGGCTGGTGGAAAACCTACTCCTAACAGAGGTAAGTCCTGGAGTAAAGGTCCTCTCCTATCTCTAGAGCAGACTGTGAATTTCTTTGGCTTTGCCAGAGCCCTTCTCCACCAGGAACATCCATATGCACAGCATTCTGGCCAGATGGCTCAAGACAGAGCCAGCATCCAGGCCTCAGGTGTGGCTTCCTTAACTGTGCCCACAGGGCACGCATACGTTCTTAGAATATCATAAAGAATGGGTGCAGGGCCCTGGGACTCAGTAGGCTGCCTGGTGCCGCTGTGCAGTGACATTCAGTAACTGTCTCTTCCATGTACTGTTTCAGCTAAATCTGATTCTGACCAAGCTCTAGGGCTGCTGCCAGCCTGCTACAGTGGCTTCCACAGCCTCCTCTACCCTGGGGGGAAATGCGACTCTTCACTCCAAGAGAATCAACATGGCTTAAAGCTTTCCCCAGGTTCAACTTCAGCAGCCTCAGGTCCCCAACCTCCCACAAGATTGACTACACAACACAGTTTTACTCAGACAAGGCAGACATTTATAAAACAGGGAAATATTCACAAACAAACTGTGGGAGAAACACAACCTTCCCAGCAATGGGGACTCTATAAAGTGCTTCTTGCCTGCGACCATCTCTTCCCCATGCTAGGTCCCAACAGCAGGATTGTGACAGCCCTCAAAGTCACTCAGGCTAGGCAAAAGGAGGCACGAAGCCACTCCAGGGCTCCCAGCCATTCCATCTCATCGCTCTGGGGGTGGGTGGACTGTTTCATTCATTGGAAAGCTGCCCTGAAAATGGGCCAGCATGTCAAGGAGGAGGAGGGGCAAGTGATCGTGCCAACTTGTACCTTGGGAAGAGAGCCATCATCAAAAAGAAGGGCACTGTGCCTGTAGCTGAAGGTGCTGTGAAATAAACACTGGATGCAGACCTGGCCTTTGATCATCTCATACCAGCTCTCCAGGCTTATTCTACCTTCCCTCCAGCATGATCCTTTGGCTCTTTCCTCTTGGCCTGGGGCTGGGGAGCAGAGTGTCCCGTTTCTCCACATGATCATAGGATGTTTCTACTCAGAATGATGGACATAAACAGTTGGACTAAAGGTAGCTCTTTGCTGAGAAAACCTGAGGCCATCTCAAAAAGAAGCCTGTCAGATGTTCTGGACAGCTGGAGTTGAGGGGAGCCTGGCCCCAGGGTTCTGGTCTGATACAGTGAAGGCCAGGGCCAAGGGCATTGACAACTCTGAGGCTAGGAAAGGTCACAGGGGAGGTAGAGGAAAAGGCCCAGAGGCCAGCTTAATGTTACATGTGAGAACAAAAATCCACACAGGAACACACATACATACACATGTGCATACACACACACACACACACACACACACACACACTACATGAATACACTGTGGCTCAAGTGCAGGCCACAGGGGGGTAGAAGGAAGACTTGCTCAGTTACCCACAATCCTTTTCATAACTTCTTTCTCCACATGACCCAAATGTGGGAAGGAGAGGTGGCTCCCCTGGGAAGCAAGGCTTGGCTTCTCTGGACCAAACCTTCCACTGCTTTTCTGGGAAGTGCATGATGTGCCAGGTGTGATCTCTATTTGACCTTTCACCAACTTCCCCAGGCAGTTCCCCACCCCTCAGTCTCTCCGAGTCCCTTGAAGCCTGGTCCTGAAGAGCTGCCATGCAGTGTGGGTGCTGACCACTCCAGAGTGGGCCCTGGAAGCCTTCAGACACAGACTGGCCAGCTTGCCAGTAAAGGTGCTGTGAAATAAACACTGGATGCAGACCCAGCCTTTGATCCTCTCAAACCAGCAGTACTTACTGGAGCATGTGGCCAGGGAGTATGGCCAGAGGAGCCAGGGCCCTCAAGCCATGGAATCTAGTTTCCTCCACCAGCTCTGACCCTGGCCTATCTACAGCTCCTGGGAGGCTGAGGCTGGGCCTGAGCTGCTAGGGAAGGGACAGAAGACCTGGACAGAGTCCAGTCCTCACTAGGCTTCTAGAAGGTCCTACAAAGACAGATATGTGGTTTGAGGCTGACATAGGCAGGACTAAGCATACAACACACTAGTCTGAAGTCTTACACATCCAAGGGAAGAGCCTGCCAGTGGCATGGGATTTTAAAAGTCTGGACAGAAGGTTACATCCTGCTTAGGTTCTAATGACAGAACATGGGAACTAAGCCAGCAGGACTCTGGCTGCCTGTGTAACCCCACACTTTAGGTGAAAGTCAGAAAATTTGACCTTCCAGCTGTCTGAAGAGAGGAGAGAGCAAGAGGAGCCTGGGGAGGCAGAGACCAGAATTCGAATTCCAGCTAGGGTCCTACTACCACCACCTACTGGGACAAGGGAGGAAGCTCCCAGGAACAGATTTGGGCTGAAAGTCACTGCTGTGGCTTCTAGCCCTGTGTCTTGAGGTGAGGAAGCAGCCCCAGTGACAGGGATGATCTAGAGACCCCTCCAATCCAGGTGACATTCAGGATCATGAGAATGTAAACAAATGCATGCACACGCAAACGGCACACCACGCCTTCCTCTGCACACACACACACACTGTTCGTTCTGTTGGTGACTGGTTTCTCTGTAGGCTGTGGCAGCTCAGGCACCCAGGCTGTGTCACGGAGCGATGGCTCTCCAGCTGAAAGAGAAAAACATGTGCAAAGAGGTACTCAGGAGGCTGCTTAGTTGCCCAGGCACAAGCTTCTCTGGCTGCTTCCCTAGGGATTCCCAGACTGGGAGTGGGACAGCCCAGTGAACATGCTGCATGGGCCACAGTCCCCAGAGCCAGATTGTTGCTGGGCAACCAAGGGGGTGGCTGGATACTGCATCTGTGAACCCAGGACAACTGTTTCCTGCATACCCTCTTAACCAGGGATAGGGGAAAGGGCTACATGGGCATCACTTGACACCTTTAAGGACACTTGTTCACAAACGACAAGAGTATAGCTACTGCATCAGAGATGGCGAGCTGGGAAAAGTAGGTGTGTGAGACATTGCTTGGGTTTAGAACAAGCAGGGCAAACTTGTACAAGCCAATCTCAGAGCCCTGGCGCATGGGTACAGTGGCGGGAGGTGGGGAAAGAAAGGGAATGGGGGCACATGATGGCTCATTTTAAAGATTTAGAACATTCTGGATCTGGAGCACAGAGAGAAATGGCCTCACCAGATACCACAGGACAGGGTTAGCCCACTGTAATTATTGAGCTGCCTGTCATAACAGGTGATGGAGTGGCCGCAGGACAGGTACCTCTGGTGTCCACACTGATGTCCCCATTTCTGTGGCTCAGGTCCTTACTCCCAGCACCTTAGGTTATGACTCTCTTTAGGTAAAAATGAGATGACTAGGATGATCTAAAATGGAAAAGGGACTTTGACCCAGACAAAACAGAGGGGAAAAACTTCGGCAAGTACCAGAGACCATGACCTTGAACTCCAGACTCTAGAACCAAGGGTTTGCTTCTGTGGTGCTTTGCTATGGCAGCCCTCACAGACATTCACAGACCAAGACAACCTGTTAGCCTCCATTTTCATAAATGAGAAACTGAACTGACATGAGTGTCCACACAAATAGCCAAGATAGGAATTCCAAGGCCTTCAGCATTCAAAAACTTTGTGGGCCTAAAACAAAACAAAACAAAAACAACAAACAAACAAAAAAAAACACTCCTAATTTTATGTGTATGAATATTTTGCCTATATCTATGTCTATGTACCAAATGAGTACTTGGTGCCTCCAGAAGCCAGCCAAGATCCCCTGGAGCTGGAGCCACAGACAGTTTTGAGCCACATGTGATGCTGGGAATCGAACTTGCATTCTCTCTAAGAGCAGCTGGTGCTTCTCTGAGCATCTCTCCTCCTGGCCCTGTCATTTTGTTTTTAACCAATAAGTGAACTTTATATTATTCCTCACCAAGACTTTTACAGGATATAAAAAGGAAGACATTCAACATAGTGACATGGAGATTGATACCTACACAAACTAAAATGGAAGGTATTAGAAATGAGGAAACACTTGTAAAAGTCAGATGAATTTGGAGACATGGATCCAAACTCAGCCTTCTAGCACATTCCATCCCATTTTGGGTATTTAACTTATGCAGTTGAGGAAGCCTTGGACTCCTGATATCCTTGCTTCTACCTCTTAGATTCTAGGACTACAGGTGTTCAGAGCACAGGCAATCCTTTTAAGGTCACAGCTCCACCTGAAGCCACCTGCACTTGGAGAGTGCTACTCTGTCTAGACTGTAGAAGCTGGGCAGAAGGCAGAGCAGAAGTGGATATACTGTGGGCAGTTCCCAGGATCCTGACTTTAAACCAAGTATAACTGCAGTCATTCCCCTTCCGCTTGGAAAGCGTGCTATAGGCAGCCAGGTTCTTCCATTAGGTAGTGTGTGTTTACAGAGGCACTCTGAGTACAGTTTCCAAGCTGAGCGAGTCTGCTGTTACACCAGAGATGAGCTTCCTTCTGAAACACCAACTCCAGTGCCACCTCCATTTTGTTTTTTCTGCCTTTAACTCTTGGAGTTCATGGAATTATGGACATAGCTTTACATTTGAAATTCATTGTAAGTGAAACATAATGGCATATTATGTGATTTTTTAAAAATATTTTGCCCCTTCTCTCTTCTCTTCCTAGACAAGATTTCATAAAATCCAGGCTGGTATTGAATTTGCTATGTAACTAAGGACCTTGGACTTCTGATTCTCTTTCCTTACTCTTCCGAGTTCTGGAACTGCAGGCATGGACCACTAAACCTAGCTTATTACGTGCTTACACATATACACATTATATATTCCTGACACCAATTTAAACCTCAATTTATCATTTATGGAAAGCACTTGGCCTCCTTTCTTATGGCCCCCTCCATGTCAGGAGCTAAGAATCAGAGCTGAGATACACCTGAACACTCTGCAGCTGGGAGCACAGGCCTGGGATGAAGAGCCAGGTTCTCTGGGAGGGCTGGGTTGCCTCCATCTCCACACTGGATAGGCTGTCAGTGACACCTGTCACATACCAGTTGCACCAGTGTTAAGAGTAACGATGGGGATTCTGGAAGTCACATTCTAGGCAGAGAAACCTCAGCACTAACCAAGCACAGGCCACTGAGGGAAGGGGCTCCTTAGCCACGGCCCTCTGTGCGTGGAAGGGTTTCTCACTAGACTGCTGTGCAGAGCTGGAAAGGGAAAGACACACCCACACTGTCCCACGGTAAAAATCACTGGATGAATGAGAGAAGCCGGTGAATAACTGGAGGCTGATGCAACCCTGTGTCAGCAGCTCTGGGGGTTACAGGAACCAGCTGACAGAACTGCTATTTGGAATCTCACTATTTTCTTTTTTCAGTTTAGTGAACATTGTAAAAACTAAATGGAGAACATTCGGTTGGCGTGGGTTTGAGGCAGGCATGGAACCCACTGATCCTAGAGATGGTTTTCTGCATACTGATTGAAATCATAATGACTGCTCATGAGACAGCAAGCGCCAGAGACAGAAGGGTCACAATGCCAATAGAGCAGAGCTAAGAGACTAAAAGCGGAGAATGTTTACTCAGGCACTGGCCTGCAGCCCAAGTCATGTGACTAAAATGGACAGGGGATGGGCAGGAAGGGGCACGTCTTCCCATCCATACAATTCTGATTGGGTGCACAGCCCCTCTAGTCAGGTGATCCAAGTCACTCGGAAGCACATGCAAGGCAGTACCGTGCCCTCCTCTGCCTGGTGTGCTTCACTCAGTTAAGACTTTTCACACAAAGGTTTTGATTTTCTCCCTGACATCCTGATATGTGTGTCCCAGCAGTAGGGCAGGTGACAAGAGCTACAAAGCATTTCACAGCTGTGAAGGTTAATCTTGGTTGTCAACTTGACTAGATTTGGGATCAACCAAGAGACATGTCTCCAAGTAGGTCTGTGAGGACATCCATCCCCTAGGAGGGCTACTGAAGAACGGGGGGGGGGGGGGGGCAGCACCTTCGAGCAGCAGCCCAGACATAGAGGTCCCAGAGAAAGGCAGGGCTGCTTCTGTCTGCCTGAGTGCACTCCCTGCTGCTAGGTACATCTATCCTGCTGCTGCTGCCCTTCTTTGTTGGCATGGGACCCTTCTTTGCCCTTCCAATTCACATTGAAGACCAGTGGCTCTCCAGGAATCTCTGGTTTCAGAACCAGCCTTGCAAACTGCAGCTCCTGGGTTCTTAGCCTCTTCAATGTGTAGGTAGCCACTGTTGGACTACCTAGCCCACTGTGTAAGAAAGACAATCTAGTATTTGATTTTGTAAACATAAACATTATGTAGGTTCTGTTCCTCTAGAGCACCTACTACAACAGAAGAGCATCTTGAGGCCCAGATGCCCCAGCCTGCACATAGGAGGCACTTTTCTTTTGGGGTTTCCAAAACCATGGTGCTCCCACTATCTGTCTTGGAAAGAAGTCTGCTCCTCTTACATCCTCTGACTTCCTGGCTTCTTTCCATCTTCAAGAGCTTTGCCTGGCTTAACTACCTAAATAAAGTGTAGAGCAAAGCCCTTAAAAACAGTCCCCAAGATGCTAGTAGGTAAACACACGGGCACAGCACTACAGGGCAAGAAAGGCACTCCTCTGCACAGCTGACATCACTTGGCATCAGTGTCAGGTTTCCCAAGTGGTTCTTGCCTACCTGGTTCTCCTGCAGACGCAAGTTTGACCATTCTGTTCCACAGGTGGCTTATCTCCCAGAACTCCCTCAAGGGGCCCCTCTGCCTAGTATAGTTTTCCAGAGCATCAGCCTGCATAGACAATAATCCCAATAATACCCATACCAGCAGGGAGTAGCATTGTGCTCTAGTACTTCTGAGCTAGGCCGGGGCTGCGAGGCCTGTACATCGCTGGTGGTTGGTGTCTACCATGATCTATACTTCCTTAACTAACCACCCCAGCTCCACCCCACCAGTCCCAGACACAGTCCTCACCAGTGACTCCTAAAGCACAGCTCCTAAGTGAGCTTCCCAGCCTTTCCTTTCTCTCTCCTTATGCAGCTACACCTTTTCTTTTTAAAATACCTCTGCTTACACTCTGTCTCCTCCTACTAATATCACCCAAGGTGGAGGTGGGGGCTGCCAGTTCAGTTCACAACATACGCCGAGTCTAGGACCTGTCTTGGGAGTGGGAACATGTAATGTATATTAACTGAGTGAGTGACACAGCCATCCCTGCTGTCCTGTCCCTACCTTGAAGATGCATTGAGAGTCAACTTTGGTCCACCAGACCAAAACCCACAAGCCCCCTAAGAGGTAAGAAAAGACCCAAACAGCTCCACAGTGTAAAGCACCCACCAATCTACTGACAGAGCTGTACAGAACAGCCTGGCACAACAGTCAGGGAAGATGGCAAGCTACATTTCTCCAATATTGTTATAAAAGCCTGTCCTGCCTTGGGTAAGGAGGAAGGAGGAGGAGGCAAATCTATCTGTCTGTCTGTCTGTCTTTCTTTTTTTAGTGATTCATGAACCTCCCAGAAAAGATGAGCACTGACTGGGATGTGCAAAGAAAGCTACAGTCTCTGTGAAAAGAGGAGAGACCCTGTAAGTAGGACCAGAGAGACAGCTGGGCCCTCTGGACCTTCCATGGGTGAGCCCTTTCCTGGCGTCTAAAGCTCAGTGTTGCCCTCATCTGGCCTGCCTACAGAACACAGCTTCCCACCTGCTACTCATAGTTTCACATCCGGGTCTCAGATTTGACTCACATTAGCAGTCAGAAGGGCAAGTAAACAAACAGAACAAAACTAAGCCCCTTTCCTTTTCCCCTAGTCAGAAAACAAAGGATTTCAACTCCTATATTTTTTTTCTTCCAAAATAAATCCTCTTTTCTTAAAAATTTTCTTAAAAATTTCCTTTAAATTTAACAAGGCACACTGGACATGTTGGCTCACATCTGAAATCCTGGCACCCAGGAGGATGAGGCAGGAGGATTGCTACAAGATCAAGATTAGCCTCAGCTACAAAGTGAAGCTCTATCTCAAACAAATAAACAAGGCCCCTAAAGGTTTAGAACAGTGGTTCTCAACCTGTGAGTCTCAACCCTCTTGGGGTCACATATCAGATATCCTGTATATCAGATATTTATATTACAATTCATAACAGTAGCAAAATTACAGTTATGAAGTAGCAATGAACACAATTTTATGGTTGGGGGTCACCACAACATGAACTGTGTTAGGGTTGCAGCATTGGGAAGGTTGAGAACCACTGGTTTAGAAGACATGAAAGCCAGAATGGTAGGATTTGAGCTGAAAGCATACCCTATCAGATTTTAATCTGGTTTGCTTTCTAAACCATGTCACCTCCCTCTGCAAGGACTCACTCTCAGGCGTCCTTGCTTTGTGGCTCTTGGACAGGCATCTCTGTCACCCTGGCCCTCTTGCTCAATTCTTCACCAGGGGGCTCCTCAGCTGCTTCCAGCTTGCGTTTTGGGGAGGCTGGGCCACTGGACAGTGGTCTGGGGCCTGTGGAGAGGCACAGAGACAAGCACAGTTACATACCACAATGGTCTCAGCAATGACTGCTCTTTGGGGACAAGGAGCCCTGCCCTGGCCTCCTTTTCAGCAGTGACCTCACTTGGAGCTGTGTGAGGAGGGTATGCCCTGGCCTGCTGGCAGCAGAGCCAACTTCTGGCCTCAAGTCCCTGGCTCCAGGCCAAAGACAAATGAAGCACATCTGCTGTCCTTGCTCTGGAGGTGAGGCTTTCCCTTTGCAGTCCTGGGGAAATCCCAGGAGTTCTGGCCACTTTTGCATTATGGAGCATCACCAAGCTGACCAGGACCCTCACTCTCTCCCTGCTTCTCCTGCCTAGAACCCTGGGTCGCCTTACTTCTCAGCTCCCCATTCTTACACTGCTCTTCCCTGTTCTTTGTTTATGTGGCAGGCAATGGAGTTTTAAAAGCTCAATGACACCTTGTCCTGCCCTGCTGACACCCTTCAGTGCAGGAAGGCAGGGTGATGGGGAGTCAGAGCACTCTGCTCCACCTCATCTCCTGCTCTGGCTTCCTTCTTTTTCTATTTCCTTCCCTGATTCTTATTAGGACATTGCTAAGCAGTTCCCCTTGGCAGTCCTGTTTAAAATGGTCCAAAAGGAGCTCTATTCCTAGTCCCACATCAAGGCACTCAGTGCTACTTCCCTCCGAAATTCTTATCTGAATGCTCATATTCCATTGTCTTGCGTTCTGGATGGAAATAAGCTTCATCAGGCATATGCTCATTTTGGCCTCAGCCATGAATGACTGAATTGGTAGCACAGGTCACAGAAGTCCAGAGAGGCCAAAGTCGGTCTATCTACTCACCCGTGTTGCTGATGCTCCCAGCCTGGCTAGAACTAGGCTCTGCCACAGGGTGACTGAGGTCTTCCACACAGGAAGGGACAGATGCCAGAAGGCCTGGAAGACAAAGCAAGGGGTAGTCAGAAGATTAAGAGGGCTGTAGGTCATGAGAAAAAAAGGGCCAGGAGGGCAGGACCAGGACATGGCCTCCGCCTTCTCCCAGCACCCCATGCTGCTCAGGACACAACCCCTATCTCTCCCAGTACCCCAAGCTGCTCAAGAAGCCGAGCCTGGACCAGCCTGCAGTGTCCTTCACAGCCTCAGGTTAAGTCCTCCCCAAGGTGAGTGAGATATCAGTGGGGTAGGAGCTCCTTACAGAGTCCCCGGTATCGTGATAGCTGCTGGTAGATCTGCTTCATGCGTTCAATGTTGAGCCGACTAGTCTCAGCATGGTTGACGATGGGCCGTGGGTAGTCCACACCAATGATGCACTTGGCAGCCTTCTGAACTGACTCAGGGGCATTCCAGGGCTCATATATGTAGCGAGAAGGGAACCCTTTCAATTTGGGCAAGTATCGCCTGAAACACACACCAGATGATATATCAGCACACTGTGGCTCTTCTTCCAAGGGCCCAGGGTACACCAGTCCCAAAGGAGGTCATGGTGGTTGAGAGCTGGAAAGTCTGGCTTGAACTCTCACCGAATGTAGTCCCCACTGGGGTCTGTGCGGCGGCCGAAGCCCACAGGGCAGTAGCAGTGGAAGAACTGTTGGAAGAAAGCACTGCAGGACAGCCACATCCAGCTGCCAGCATTCACGCTGAAATCTGCATCCAGAAGCAGCTCATCAAATACCTACATAGGGGACAACCAGCCTTCCTGGAGATCTGATGCTCCGGTTCTTTCCAAGTCACTGTAATACCCCAAGGAACCAAAGCCCTTCTGCTGAGGACATGGAGGACATGGAAGGGATCTCCTGGGCCCAGGGATCCCACCCCAGCCCTCAGCCTAGAAGGGGGCTGACCTTGGCTAGGCCTGGTCACAGGGTACAGGCCAGCTTGCACTCACCCGGACCCCGCTCTCCCAGCTGACCCAGAGGTCCCCGCGGGTGAGGAAGCAGGCTACAGCGTGCCGGGCCAGGTGGTGGATCCAGCCCTCCTGCCTCAGTTGGGTCATGATGGCGTCAATCCAAGGGAAGCCTGTCTTGCCCTCGGCCCACTTGGCCAGGGCTTCAGGGTTGCGATCCCAAGGGATCTGGATGCAGATGGGGTTCCCCTCCATTCGGTCAAACCTGGGGTTGTTGGTGGCCGCTGTGTAGAAGAACTCTCGCCACAGGAGTTGTCCAAACAAGGAGAGGGGGGGTGTGCTGTTCCTCTTCACCTGAAGGGTGGGCATAACACACAAAGGTGAGCCCCTGCTTGGTTCTTAGCACTGCGATGCTCAGGTCTCTTGCACAGAGCAAGTGCAATGCTTCCAAGTACAGTGGCTCCAAATCCCAGGTGTAGAGGAACTAGACTTACATGTTTCATAGTGTGCAACATGCAGGCCCTGCTCTGAGCATCAAGAATGACTTCAGATGGCTAGCGGTGAGGGAATGATGCTTTGGGACTCTGCTATGGGACCAAACTCCTCAAGATACTCAAGATTCTGTAGTTCTACTATTTAGAAAGGGATTTTATACTTTATCAGCAGTTTAAAAATGTTAAGTCTAAATACCTAAATATCATTGAATCCAGAGAAGCTGAGCTGATGCTTACTTAGAGCTTTCACCTCTACTAGCTAGTGTTCATGGTACTAGAACGTAGTCTGCATGCTACCAGAGGAGAAAGGTAAACACCATGCCAGCTCCATACCCTCTGATGTACAATGGTGACCTGCTTGTACTAAACACTGGTAGAGCAGTGGCACAAAACATGTAGAGGCAATCAACCACTACTTGATTGGATTTAAGGCCAACCCTTTGAGATGGAATTCATCCCTGACATTACCCACGTGGCCAAGAACCTGAGAATAGATAGGCCACAGACAGGGGAAAACCAAAAAAAAAAAACAGCAATAAAATGACTCCTAATGACATTCTGCTATACTCATAGATCAGTATCTTACTCAGCTACCATGAAGTAGGTGGTAACTTATACAGGGACCCACAACTGGATAATGTGTAGAGAGTGAGACCTCAGAATACCCAGTCTATAGGATCTCCATTAAATCTCTTACATCATGGCTCCTCTTTGGAAGAGGAGGCTGAAAGACTGTAATAGCCAGTGGGAATGGAAGAAAACAAGAAAATAAAGCCTTCTAGACACAATAGGACAAAAGCACATGTTAACTCACAGAGACTGTGGCAGCATACACAAAGTCTGCACAAGCCTAAACTGAATGGGGCCCAGCTCTGTGAGAGGAAGTAGACACAAACCCCAACCCCTAACCCAGAAGTTACCTCTAATTGATTATAACTCACAAAGGAAAAATAATTTTCTCCAATTGGGTCTCATTGGGTATACAAACCACACTTAAGGACAGGCCCCATGCCCAGCAGTATATGAGTAGATGGCCAACACAAAATAAACTCAATGGTGTATTTGGAGGGTTTTTTTGGGGGAAGAGAGGGATCTCATAATGCTTTGGCTGGGGTCTTTTTCTTTTTTAATTTAACCTTACAGGTCTTTTGCTTATATATTTTGGTTTCCAGTTTTGTGTCTTTATAGGATTTCTGAGTATGTGGATGTATATGTCTTTGCGTCAATACATGTTTCTTAGGCTTTTTCTTTGGCTCCCCTTCCCTTTTGTCCCATTCAGATTTATTTATTTTTATTTTATCTTCTTTTTTCTTTCCTTTCTTCTTTTTTTATAAGCCTGTTTGTATTCTAATGAAGGAAAGAGAGGAAGACAGAAAGGAAGAAAGAAAGAAAGGAGGGAAGAGAGGAAGGAAGGAAGGGAGGAAGGAAGGGAGGAAGGAAGGAGGGAAAGAAGAGAGTGGATTTGAGTGGGTGGGGAAGTGATGAGGATCTAGAAGGAATAGGGGGCTAGGAAACTCTAATCAGAATATACTATATGAAAAAAAAAATGTGCTTTCAATTGAAAAACTTAAGAAGTACCAAGTCTGGAGTTTGGCTAAACAATGTATAAGCAACAGTCAGAGACACAAACAATGATTTCCCCCTCCCCTGATGACTTATCCACCACTGTCAAACCCTATTCCATGAAGCCGTGCTGGCTGGGCAAATAACACTAAGAAACAAAGGCACAGCGTAACTTGAGGAGCTGTTCTGTGCAGTGCTTTAACAGAGCCCTCTGGCTGTCGGGCTGCCTGGCATGTCCTGTAAGCAGCCCTTTCAGGCCAGCCTTCTATTACTGTGTGACACCAACCACTCTTGGCCTTCCTTTAAACTCTGGTCTCAGTCTCAGTGTGGCAGCTGCTTAGGACTGTCTCTAGCTTCACTGCTCACTTCCCACTCTGAGGTGCCAGCCTTCACTATCAGCTGTTAGTGAATGTCCCACCTCTAAAGCCCGAGCCGAGGCCAGCTTCTCTGTCTCTTCCTCAGAACCATAGGAGAACCTGGGTTCATTCACATCAGTGACTCAGTTGTGTCCAACCATCTATCACCTCTCGGAAACCAACCATTTCCAACTTCTCTGAACTGAGAGTCTCCAGTACCCTCACAGCCCAGCCCAGCCCCAAAGCCAAAAAGAAGGGCCCTTTCTGGGATGACTGGCAGTGAGTACTGTGTCTGGGGGTGACTGTGCCTGCTCATTGCACCTCACCTTCTTTTTTGTTTTGTTTTTTTGAGTCAGGGTTTCTTTGTGTAACAGTCCTGGCTGTCCTGGAACTCGCTTTGTAGACCAGGCTGGTCTCGAACTCACAGAGATCCACTTTAATCCCGAGTGCTGGGATTAAAGGCGTGTGCCACCACTGCCTGACTTGCACCTCACCTTCTTATACAAGTCCCACAGGCGGTAGTAGAAGAGGCGGCAGGAGAGGCATCCAAAGCGTAGGTAGGGGCTGAGGCCTGTGGGGCTGGCCAGCAAGGAATTGGCATTCATCCGAGGTCTCTCATAGTTGGCAACCCAGGCCTGCAGAAGAGAGAGATGACATAAGGAAAGGCCTGGGTGTTAAAGAGCGAGGATTCTTCACTTAAGGTCAAAGAACACTGAATGCATTCCACTCTCCTGCCTGGGGGCTCTAGGAAATAGAGCCATCCATGTTCTTGCCCTGATTTCCATGTTCAGTCAGTGACATGACCGAATGACTTATTTAGCTCTTCAGCTACTTAGCTATTAAATAAGAACATTCACCATCTCTGGGGATTAAATGAAGTAGGAAAGAATGCTGAGAGCATGGAACAGACACTGTAATTACTTAGAAGGAGGGAAAGGCATCTGCTTTACAGAAAACAATGTTCCTAGCTTAGTCCCTGTTCCAGTCACCAGAAGCTTGAGGCTTTGGCTGCTGAGTCTAGGACACCCAGCGGCTTTCACCATTGTTAAACAGCCAGGGAAATAGAAACTCCCAACCCATTTCCAGAGACTAACACAGCCATTCCCTTCTTGGGCCTCTTGTCTCACATTCCTGGTCTTGTTTTCCTCATCCACAGCCTCTAGCACCCTGCACTCCCTTCAAAAGAGGAGTCTCACTAAACCTTAACATACTAGGAGTGTTCTGCTATCATTTTCTATAAGCAGGGTAACTAGGCTCACAAGACTTCTGGACTATCTTGGGATTAGGGTGTAGAAAGAGCCTGGGAGTCTCACTTTAGACTCCAGTCTCCACACACCTTTCCTTCCTGCCCACTCCAATACCTCCCTGTCAGCTTTCAGGTGTCCTTCCTGAAAAGTTTCTACATCCCAATAGGCCTCTCCACTGATGCAGCAATCCAAATCAAACTGAATTAGAAAAAGCACAAAATTAATGGATACCATGCTTCTTGATGGCCTGCCAGACCCCCCCTCCCCCAGAGAGGAGGAGACAAGAGAGACTGGAAAACCAGAGTCTATTTTCTGGGGGGGCAGTTTAAATACCCTATAGGAGTGGTCTTGAGCATCTCTGAGGGGAGGGGTCATCATTTGGCGGGCTTTCTGAAATGCAGCAGAGTTCGAAGAGAGACCAGGGTGGGGGTTTGTGTGGAACCTCCACCATAACATCCTAGACTCCTTGGGTACATGGATGCCAGGGGCTGGGGTGAAGCTTCCACAATAACACTTCCTTCCTATGGCAATCTGGCAGGAGAAGCTTATGAAAAACCTCACCCTTTCTTTACCATGTGGGGAAATACCTCAACTTGCAGGTATCCAATATCACTGACAAGCTTTCCCATACCCTCTTCCTCTCTGAATGAAAATGAGGATACAATACAGCAAAGGAGAAGGATTTTATTGTAGCTACGAGGGAAAGTTCAGTCAGATGCATCTAGAAGGATACAAAATGAACAGGGCTATGAAAGCTGAGATGAGGGGAGACCACAGGAGGAAAGGAGAGAGGGCAGAGGGCAAGCAGACCAAGAGAATGCATATCTAAAATGGCTGCATTATATAGAAATCAGAAGCTGGGGGAAGGAAAGCCTAGGTTTAGGATAGGGGTCAGGGAGAGGTGCTTGGAGGAGCCACAGGTACCAAGAAAGACTTGTCCCATACTTTTTGGGGGGACCAGACACTCTCCCCCACAATTTCCATGCCAAGAATATGAAATAATGATCTCATTTGTTCTCTGAAAACCAAATAAGCAACCCAAAAAACAGAGGACTTGTGATAGCTATGGGCCCCTTGCACTAGGCCGCTCTTTCCACAGCCAACCTTTCTCCATTACCCCCCAACACACACACACACACACACACACACACACACACACACACACACACACACACTTTGTAGCCACCTGTTTAAGCCTTGCTGTTTGACTTCATTGGTACCCACCAGCCTCAAGTCACTCCATACCACTGAGTCCTCAGACACTGCTGTCCCTGTATTCTGGGCACTCTCACCAGTACCACATCCTGCTGTTCACTCCACTTCTCTGTCTTCCAATCCACAGATTTCTCACGACTCATGTGCTCCACCTAACCAGCTGCTAGTCACTCTAGTACTCTGAAGTTCCATCTCTTCTACATCCCTCCAATGTTTCAGCCCTGGACTCTGCCTCCGACCCTAGGCCCATCTCTTGGCAGGCAAGCATCTACAGCTGCAGCCCAGTTGCTTCCATACACGGCTTTGTACGGAACTTGCTCTTTTCCTTAAATTCACACTTGGGCTGGATTCTTTGAAGAAAAAGCAGTTTCATCTACCTCACACCTCAAGAACAGACCTAGCCATCACTCTTACTGTTGTACCCAAACTTCTCAGATGTGTCCTGTTCTTTCTATCTATCCACAACTGCTAAGATCATATCTAGGCTGGAATATGAAGACAATCTCCTCTGGAGCACTGTCTACACTGGGAATGGAGTGCCAGGGCTGCTCAGAAGACTGAGAAGGGCACACAGCTCCGAAGCAGCCCCACTTCTCCAGCCTCTCCTTGCCCCTGCTTCTCAAGCACTTGGCTGTCACCAGAAGTGGCAGATGTGGTTCTCCTCTGATACCTACCCTCCCCCTGCACTCTCACTTGGTTGTTAAGTGTCTCTTAACAGACACTGGATACTTATTCCAGCACATCTCCTTGCTCCCTGTCCCCTGGTCCTGCAGTTTCAACCCCTATAATTTTTTTTTTTAATTTGTTGATTGTGTGTGTGTGTGTGTGTGCGCGTGTGTGCATACGCGCACATGCGTGTACATGCACCTGTATATGTATGTACATGTGTGCAGGTGTGGAGGCTAGAGAAGATGCTGGGTATCTTTCTCTATTGCTTTCAATGTATTTCCTTGAGGCAGGCACTCTTATTGAACTTGGAGCTCATTTTTGGGGGTGCTTTCTGGGGAGGGACTAGATTGGTGGTTAGACAGCCCCAGTGATCTTCCCTGTAACTGAAGTTACAGGTATAGGAAGTCACAATCAGCTTTTTTTTGTCTTTTTTTTTGGCAGAAGCTGACTTTTCATCTACATTAAATTACATGACCAGCTGTACATGTGCATGCTGGGATCTGAACTCAGTCCTCCTGCTTGTGAAACAAACCCTCCTACCCCTGAGCCAACTCTCCAGCCCTCAATCTTTTTATTTTAAATGAAACAAAGACAGAGAGTCACACACACAAATGTGTGGCTTCATGAATTCTTCCAAAGCAAACATCCAGGTAATCACCAGTAAAGTTCTGGAAACAGAACCTTGCTAGCCACCCAGGAAGTCAGGCTCCTCTCCCCTATTCCCCACTCCCTGCTTTTATAATTATCGTTTCCTACATTTTTGAGATGTTTACATTTTTATAGTTTTGCAAAGTGTGCTTGGAGCAGCTTTATTCTTCCACAACTGTCCCCTGACCCAACTATGCATCCCTCAGGGGCCCTATAGTTTAGTGACAGTCATTTAAAAAGCATTCACATCAAAGTTCTTTTAAGCATATACTCTCTGCCACCTCTTTCTTTTCCTTTTGATGTTTCTGGGGAAGGACATAGGCGCTGCACTTGTGTGGATTCTGTCCTGTGTATTGCCTATAAGTTGGCTGTTACCAGAGACTGGACTGAACATTGGTGTAATTCTTTGTGAAGTCTACAGTAGGGGGCACATGATACTTGCCTGCCTCTCTGATGGTGGTTGAAGTCATTAATGCATGTGCCATCACTGAGGCTGAAAAATGGTGGCACTCTAATTTTACTACCCTTTTTTCATTTAATAATCAGAATACTAGAGCTCAGCATTTAGGTGCACATGGTGGCTCAAAGCTGCCTATAACTCCAGTTCTAGGGGATCTAAGCCCTCTTCTGGATTCTGTTGGCACCAGGCACATATGTGGTGCATAAACATGCATGCTTCAAAATGGACATATAGAATTAAAATAAATCAATCTTTTTTTTGAAGAATCAGAATATAATTACAGAGAGCTCCAGAGGTCCTGTCCCCTAAAAGCATTAGTTCCAGCGGGCAAGGCAGATCTAAGTCTACTTTCTGACTCTAGGAGTGGACTCAGGATTCGAATGTGGTCAGGGGAAACACTCCATCCCTGGCCACAGTGACAGAGCCAGGGAAGGGCACATGACCCAAGCCAAGCCAGTGAAAATACTTTTTTGGATTTCTTTTGTAAAAGAGGCAAGCCCCTTCCTCTGGTGAGCTAGACAACCAGAACATGGGCCATGCTGACTACCTTCTCTTTTACTAAGGGAAGCTAACCTGAGAGTGAACTCACATAGAGAACAGTGGAGTCAAGAGATAGAGGACATCTGCTCAAACATTCTTGGGGCCTGGACCTTGGGGACTATGACCTAAAGCTACACCTTAGACTCCTCACTATATTAGTTTTAAAAACTCCCCTTCAAAAAACCAGTTGTAAGTACAACACGTGATTGATAATTAATCCTGATGCTCTTTGCTCCTGCAAAGCTCTGGACCCTGCTGCCTCCCTAACCCTTAGGCTACCTGTAATGACACAGAATGTTCTTCTGGAAGCTTCTCCATGTCTCTCCTGCCCATCGGCCTTTCAGCTCCCAGAACATCCTGATATAAATGATTGCTCCCTTCAGATCTTAAGAACTAAAAAGATTCATTTCTTCGACCTAACACCTCTGGCTCTCCCCAGTGAGTGGGGTAACAGCCATGGGTGTGTAGAAAATGGAAATCCTGACTTGATGATTTGAGAGGCAGTCCTCTACAAAATACTTTTAAGGTAATAAAAACGAGAATCTATCAGGCCACAGGTTAACTCCGTACACTCTTGAGTCTTGCTTTTCCTGTCAATCCCTTTGTCATCTCCATCCCCTGATTCTGACCAAACTTCTGTCTCCAAACAGCCCAAGACTCTCTGGGTACAGTGTTTTGGTTTTTTTCCCCTTTCATCTGGTGCTAGGGTGGAATGAGGGGTTTGAGCATGTCTGGAAAACACTACCACCCAGCTGCAACCCAGCCCTGGGCAAAGCTCTTGATGTAGACAAAGAAAGCTGGTCCCTCGTAGCAGCTGACTTTGGGCCTCATCTTTCAAATCGGAAGAACTTGTTTTTAGTCTCTGCTGAGAGAAACATCAGGATGGGAGTATTAAGTCTGCTGAACTGAGGGAGGCTGAGGCTATCAACACAGCATTCAGTGCTGGCTGGACACTCCTGAAGCTCCTTCCTAGGCAGGCTGCCTTGGGCCCTTGCTCCATTGCTATCATCTAGCTTCTGGCAAAATGCCTTGTCACTTGCATGAGGACAGAAAAAAGCAATGCCTTTAAGAGCCAGACTATAGAAAGACTGCAGAGCTAGAAGGCAAGGGTCCTTAGTCCATGTAACCTGCTTGGCTCCTCTGCTCACAGGGGGTTGAGGACCATGGACACTGTGGAACATAACCTCCTTCCTCTTGCTGATTCCCACCACAAAGGTGAGTCATTTGCTCTTTAGGTCTAAGGAAATGGGAAGTAAAGCTTTGGAGGAAACAGATGGGGAGGGAACCATCTGACATAAATGATAGACCTTATGGGATTTACCAACAGAATAGTTCTATGATTTAGTTCTCTTGGGACACTCTGTAGCCCACTCTGGCCTGCAACCTAAAGCAATCCTTCTGCCTCAGCCCTCTTCAATGCTGTGATTGTTGGCATGCACCGAGCCCAGGTGGATGCCCTTTCAGTAAGTGGAACCTGTCCAGAGAAGAAAGTTAATCTAGTGCAAACAGTGTGAGCATGTAGACTATGCCTCTCTACGTATTTACCAATGGTGTGACCTCAGGCAGCTTACTCAATCTCTCTAAGCCTAGCTTTGTAATCTGTCAGATGGGAAGCTGAATACCTGCCTGTGGGACTGTTGCACTGATGAAGGGGACAACACAATCAGGCACTTAAACCAGCCGGACTCTCTAATCAGGAGCTGCTGTTAATTTTGCCACCAGAAAGTTTTCAGTTTTCAACCACTTGGGAGATAAGAGGCTCCTGGTACATGAACCTGATCCACACCTGCTGCTGTGTGCCTGCAGTTTTGGGGTTCAGAAACAGGGTTATACCTTCCGTTCCAAGTGCTTATCCAGGCGGGCCAGAGCTTCTGTCTCTCCTCCTTGCCAGACAGCTGGGCCAAGTCCTTCCGTGGGGAAACCTATAAAAAGAGCAGCAGGCCATAGCATTGCAGGTAGGGTCATAATTAACAATTATAAACATGATACTTTCCTTAAAGTTCTTTAAATGAAACCACAGACCTTGGACTTGGCAATACTGGAACTGAGAAAACCCTTAAAGTAAAGAAGGCTAGCTTTATTCAGATCAGAAGATGGATGGCAAGGGGAGGGAGGAAGGAAGGTGGACTTATTAGTCATCCTAGTGGAGAAGACCACTGACCTGAGACAGACAGTGCCTCTACTATTGGAGAGAGGGAACTACACAAAGAGGCTCCAGCTAGAAATAACAGCCTGGCAGGGCATAGGCAGAAATTCACTGGTCATGGGTGTGGGAGTGGTTAATAGCAACTTTTTCTGTTTTTACTTTGTTTTGTTTTAAAGGCAAGATGTCATGTAGCTCAGGCTTGCCTGTTTCTTCTGTCTCTGTCTCCCAGGTTCTGAGATTATAGGCATGTGTCACTAGGCCAATATTTTCTAACTTTGACAAAGAAACAGGAAAGTCACATCCCACCCAGGAAGCAGCAACCTGTGTGATGTGGTACAGAACTTACATACCCAGTTCCTCTAGGGAAGGTACGCCATAGGTGTCATCATGGTTCTCCTGGATCTCAGCCCTGCAGTTCTCCATCTGCTGGCTGGTCACAGCGCTCACTGGCTTCTTGGGCAACTCCATGCGGCTGATGATGGCCTGAAAGCGCTTGTAGGTAAGGGGTGGTTTCTGCCCATTCAGTTCGATGATTCTGGGGAGCCCAAAGCACATCTAAAGTCACTCCTGAGGCCCTTTATTTTGGGGTCCCTGACCACCCAAAAAAGAGCCCAGACTCAGAAGCTCTGAGGGTTGCTCTCCTCATCAGCTCACAGTCCCACCCCTGAGTAGAAAGGGGGGGCAGGGGAGGCTGTATCTCCATTTTACCGAGAGGGAAAATGAAGCCCAGAGAGCTGGAACAGGTGCCTCAGGTAATCGAGCAAGGCAGGGCCAAAGCTGGGACTCAATTCCAGGTTCCCTGGTGTCCACGTGGAGCCGCCTAGAGACAGAGACTGACCATATCTCTCTAATCAGAAAGAAAATCCCCCATGGGCCTTCTGGGCATGTTTGTGACCACACCAAGGGCCTCTCTCTATCCCATTTCAAGCACATATGGTAAGGGCTGTGATAAACTCCTTGCTTGGAGGATCATCCTCCTGTTAGTCCTTTTTACTAGAGCTGAGATGTGAAGGCCAGCTAATGTTCCCTAAATCAGAAGCTGCGGTAAACAGCAACAGCATATAGAGTTCTGAAGTGTGCCAAGTAGTTTACACAAGCAAGAAGGGAAGGCATGAGAGCCGAAGAAGAGACTGCCACTGCTTCTATAAGCATATACTTGGATGGTTCGCAGCCAGATTCCTGGGCTCTTGCTGGCTGAGAAGGAGCTTATGCAAGGCCTGCCTGTCTGGGTGAGTTCATTTCCCTATTTGCTCTCCCTGTGCTGCCCCCATTAGCCCAGATAGAAGCTGGCTGCTGCCTCTGCAGTCCCTCTCCTCCTCTGGCACGTGGCAAGGGAAGGGCTCCACACCAAGCCTCTCCTCCCGACGGCTTGGCTCACGTGCATAGCTGTGTGACCCAGCCTTCTGGCAGCCAGCCCTCAGTTGGGGGAGGAGGGCAGGGAGCAGCAGCACCAACAGAAGGGTGACATCTCCAGTAAGGAAGGGGAGACAGCCACACAGAGGCTAGCCGGATGCTGGCCAGGGGGGAAGGAGATTCTGCACCCTGCAGGGGTCTCTAGAGCCCTCAGACAACATACAAATGCATGGCCTGGAAACCCAGATAGGCAGAGCAGACCTGGGAATCATCCTAGGGTTGGAAACTAGGTCTGTGGGAACAGAGACCTACTGGGAGGAATGACAGCTGGGGTCTCTCAAGGTTAGAATACTGCAGTTTGGGATCACAAGAGCAGGGAGCATGAAGTACAATGAGCTAACAGCAGATTTATGAAGACCCTGTGTGGAGACATACACCCCCACTTTCACAGCTTGAGTCTAACCAAGCCTTCTTTATCCATATTGGGTAACCTGTTGGTGGCTTTTTTAGTCCCCAATTCTGAACCATTCCTGTCCAGTTTCTAGAAAGCACCATAAGCCAGGTGGCCCTCTTGCCAAACTGGTCCAAGTTCCACTTAGGACCAACCCTTACCACAGAGCGCCCTTGTCTCTTACCTGTCCAGATCATAGAGGGTATGAGAGTTCTCAGTCACGACCTCCACACCAGCCTCCTTGGCCATCTTCATAATGGCTGCATCCCGTTCTTTTCCAAAGGGTTCAGAGTCATATTCAAAGGTCAGGCGGGTCACCCCCCATTCCTGTGAGGGAGATAATCAGTTATGCTCAGTACTGTTTGAGTAGCAGGACCTGGGCACTCAGCTCCTCTCTGGGAGTGAACAGGTCAATCGTGGCCATGATACAATGGCTACAGAACAAAGGGCATTGGACAATAGTTTCAATTGGAAAGATTGGAAAGAACCCGAGGCTCACAAAGTATGAAGCAAGTAATCAGGGGTCAGACTAATAGAACTGCTGTGCTAGAGTCAGTAGGAAGGCCTTGCACATTCACTGTGGCCTTGAAGTGGGCGAATGAAGCTATAAATACAATGTTCCCAGGGGAGCCCCTGGCCCACAGGGAGGCACTGACTCACAATGGAAATGGGTGGGGGAGACACACACAGGATCACTAACTCCTGCCTGCTCTGCAGCCTTTCCCAGGCCTCCTCAGAGTCTAACTTGTGGCCTAGTTTTCTTGGCAGACTTGTGCTATGTAAAGTGTCTTAATGGTTTCCACAGCAACACTCCCAAGGCCAGAAGCAAACAGAGCTAATAGCTCTCAGAGCTGGAGAAGGAGAAGCAATCCTTAGATCAGAGGTTGGGGAAGACAAACTGGAGGGGCTACAGGTTGTGAATTCTTTTCTGAGCTTTCAGTCACTTCTTGTAGGAATAGCCTGGTTTCCTAGCAACAACAGAAGAAACCTGCCCCAGTGAAAGCTATCTAGACAAGTCACAGAAAGCCCTACAGCATGTAACTAGCAAGAAGCAAACAATCTAACCAGCCTGTGGTCACAGGCCTTTAAAGCCTTGAACCACTGGCAAATATCCTAATTCAATCCTGCCCAGGGAATGAATTCTTAGCAGTGCAGATATCCAGCTCATCAAAGCACAAATGCACTAAACATTTATTTAGCTCTTACTATGCTAAGTGTTTTACATAGATGACATCATTACATAGTCACAAAACCCTGTAAATAAGGAGATTCTCATTAAACAGCAGCCCCCACTCCTTCAGGAGGATTCTCCTGTGTTTCTGGCCTATTTCTACCATAGCATTTGTTGCAGGCAATGAAGCTGCCCATTACCTGCCTGTTTTGCCCATCATCGTGTGAACTCAGAGTAGAAGTCATGCTGTGTTGTGCATCCATCGCTATTATCTTATCAGCCAGTATGGAGCCTGATCACTAGTAGAAGCTCAATAAATACACAATCAGTGACTCAATGAACAACAGAGCTACATTTCTGAGCAACAGCCTCTGAGCTGCTGCGAGAGAAGAGTAATGTGGAGGGATAAGAAAGACAAAATGATTTCTGTAACTGTTCTCTTGGTTTAGTGGTGCTTGGGATGGAACTCAGGGCCTAATGCATATTAGGCAAGTGCTCTACCACTGAGCCATAGCCACAGTCTAATACATGCAAGTATATGGTACAGTGGCCGGCAAATACACAGCTCTGTGTCAGAGAGCCTGAGAGCACTTCCTGTCAAGGCAGCATGCACTTTCCTCACCTGTAAACCTGGGACAGCAGAACCTACCCCTCAGGGCTGCTGTGGGGTAGATGTCAGTGCATGTTAACAGCTAGAACAGGACTCCCAGTCAGGGCCCTCAGAGAATATTAGTGACTAGTGTCCAGTGACTCATAGGTGTGCACAAAATTATGGGGGAGAGGAGAGACATACTATGAAGCTATTTTCTCTGACATCAGATTTTTCCCTCCTGGTACAGAGTTTGGAGTGCTACTGAGGATGGAGGAGAATGCTCTAGAATGTTCTATCCATGAGAACTTTTATTTCAGCTTGGGCCTTAAAACATGTACTTTAAAGGGGCTGAGAGGAAATGGGCTTGCCTCCAATATGGCCCCCAAATGAAGATTTTTATTAATTGCTTACCAGAGGGAAACAGGGACACTCCCTCAAATGCCTGGCTTTTTTTTCCCCCTAATAAGCAGAGCAAGTTGAGGTGGGCAGCGCCCCTTGTTAGACAGGAAACCACACCCTCAAAGTCTTGGCAGTAACAAACCCTAATAAAAAGTATTGGCTTGAGCCATGGAAACACAAGGAAGCCAGTGGCAGTGGGGTGGAAGGACTTAGCACACTGCAAGTCTGGGCTGAGCTGGGATCCTTCCAACACAACGCTAGTTTTACAGAGCTTTTTTCCTTTACCGTTTCTACCCTGCTGGCAAACTGACCAGCTGTCTCTGCTCTGACCTCCCTAGCAGCCATTTTAAGTGTCCAGATAGGCACCAGTATTTCCATTTTGCCAGCCAGAATAGCATTTCACTCTGTGGGGAAATGCCAAGCAGTAGAATGTCTCCTTCAGCCCTACACACTCACCTTGAAAAGCCTTGGGAACACATCAGCTGGCTGTCCCCGGACTACAAACAGACGAGAGTTTAGCTTTCTTAAACTTGTGTCCAGATCTTCCAGAGACTGCAATAGGAACCTGAAGAATCCACAAAGCTCTTGTTAGTAACACAGGGTTGGGGGTGGGGGTGAACGACAGGATCTAACATCATTCTCTCTCTCTCTCCTTCCCAAGAACCCGGCCACTGCTCATGACAAACAAGTTGGTATGATGCATGTAGGGCATGAGGCCTGGCCTCTGAGCTCAGTCCAGAAGTGACAGAATTAACTTCTAGCTTACTAGATAGCCGTGTGATATGAGGCAGTGACTTGACCTTTTTAGCTGTTTTCTCATCCATGGCTTGGAATTAACAGTAGACCCTATAGATTTGCTAAGATGTTAATACTCATGGAATCACTAAGGAAATTAATCAGATAATGCAAATGAAACCTCAGGTACACAGCCTGGGCACAGAATCCACATGATCAAAGTGAGCTGCTCTTAATGCTGTGCTTCTGTTGGCCTGTCTCTGAGGCTTTGTTTGGTAGGTGGCTCACTTTCCAGGTTATCTCTGTGTCCCACAGTCTCTTGAGCCTCAAGCTTGATATACCTGTATTGTCTATGTAGCCACAGCTGGTCTTGAATTTGCCATCCTCCTATCTCAGCCTCTCAAGTGATGGGATTACAACAGGCAGGAGACAGCATACATGGCTTGGGCTGCAGGCATTTGTTGATACTTCAGTCTCACACATGTGCTGGCTTGTTCCTGGGATTTTGTTTGGCATATTGCTTACCATTCTGGCCTGTCCTGTCCATTACTCTGGCTACTAAGTTCTCATCAAGAGAAGGAAGCAGTGTTCTGGACAGATACTGTGACATGCTTGGGTATATGATAGGAACACAAATACTCAAGGGCCTGTGTAAGAGAACTGGGTCACCAGGGGACAGGGGAAGGAACTTTTGCTGAGTCTGTCACTGTGTTAGTTTAAATTAAATTAAAAATTTAAATTAAAATTTAACCAGGTAACTATTGATACGGTTCAAAATCCCAGCAATAAATGGGTACAGAGTGAAATATCCTTTCTTGCCTTCCTAAAGCAACCAAGACTATCAGTTTGATTATAAATCTATTATGTTATGCTTTTCAAGTATTTTCCTAATTTGACACCTCAACACATTTTTAAGGAAACTGAACAATTCCCATTTTGTAAACAAAGAAACAGACAAGAGAGGAGAGATAATTTACAAAGCTGAAAGCTATTAAGTGACTGAGCTGTCATAGTGGCCCAGGCTAATCAGACTCTGAAAGCCATGTTTTCTTCTCAGTGGCCCATTTCTAAACACTTCAGTCAAGCAGGCTCTGCTCCAGGCTGAGTCTCCTGAGCCTGGAATTCCTCTCTCTGACAGACACAATCTTCCTCCTTAGGACCCACGCCTGAACAGGCCAGCTTCTTATGTCATGGTCCCTCCAAAGAACCTGCTATAGATCCCCGAGCTGTGTTCTCTGATTACTGGAGGCTTACAGAAGCCACAGGGGTGCCAATCAGACCTAGGCCCCGCCTGCCTCTGACATACACAACATGACACAATCCCAAGGCCAGTGCAGCAGTTCCACATTCCAGCAGGAGCCAAGCCCACAGCATCACTTTAGCTAAAGGGCACATAGGCTCACTCAAGGGTTGAGGCTAGAGACTGACTGTAGAGGCAGCTGTAAACACTCCTCAAGGTCCCCCCACCCCCTGCAAATTTCTGACTTGAATTGGTCTCCCTGAGGTCTTGCTGCTCCCACCAATACAGACACCAAGTAAAAACAAGGAGAGCTCAGGGGAGTAGATAGCCTCAACCACCTGAAACAGGAGGCTTTGTTAGGCACAGAGCAGGGCACAATTCCACAACTCAGAAGGATGGAGATTCTTCCCAGACATACACTTTAAAGTCTCTATTTTCACAGCTCACCACACCTGCAGAGAATGTCAGTCTGAACCTATTAAGGCTGAAATGCACAGGAAACTTAGGTTCTAGAGTATGGTGCAACCTGTTTTTCTATACAGCTTTATTTTTAGGACTCATTTGAAAAAAAAAAAAGCTTCCTGCAGCATCTCTACAGCATAGAGGAGTACCCTTGTCTTCTCTGACAGGAAGCAGAAGGCAAAATCTGCAGCTAGCAACAAGATAATGGTAAAACTCACAATGACAACAGCTATATTTACTGAGCACTGCCGGAAGTGCTCAGTAAATATAGCGGCTTTATATGTATTACTTGCTTTATCTTACTTGCTTTATATGTATTATTGAATTCTCAGACAACCATGTGGGACAGGTGCTATTATTGTGCCCATTTTACAGCCGAGGAAACTATCATTCAAAGATTAAGTAACTTCCCCAACATAATATACCTAGTAACTGGCCAGAACTAGGAGCTGGGGACCCTACAGCTCAGTGTTTGTTCTCAGCTACCAGGCTCCTAAGCCTCAGCAGTGAGCATACCCACTTCTTGGAGCAGTGCACAGCCAGGTGGGTGGTACTACCTCCTAGGGCTCAGCCCTTAGGAAGCACCACAGCTCAATTCACTGCTTTTCTGCACATCTTTTCTCTCCAAAGTGTGGTGTGAGGCTCAGCAGCACTAGCTGTGCATGACCAGGAACTTGCTAGAAAACACACTCTCCGGCCCCATACCAAACTGCCACAATCAGAATCTGCCCTTCCATACTACTGCCTGGGAATTCACTTGTCCATGAAAACTGAAGAAGCTCCACTGTGGAATGCTTTTCATTTTGACCTTGATATACAAAGTGCATTTTTGTTTCAAATTTGTTTCTATTGAGCCCTCACCCCCACCACATCACATTTTTGTTTCAGACTATTTGGACTTTAAGAAATGCTTAACTGAAGAGCACCCCAGGAGGCAACAGGAAGCAGACAAGGGGACCAGGTCTCTGTGTAGCTTCTAGACTCCGGGCAGCCCCAGACTGCCATGGTATCACCTTTTGGACACACCAGGTGACAGTTCTGCAGTGCACCAAAGGAACTAGAGCAAGCTGCTCCTGGACAACGGCCACCAACGCCTGGGCTTTCTTAACCAGGGAGAGACTGGGCCTTCCGTCTGTGCTCCCTTCCAACCCTGCTTGCCACCTGCCCACTTCTTTTACTTCCAGAGGGGGGCTACAAAGGAAAACAGCCTGAGTACTGGAAGGGGTAGTGTTGGGGGTTGGCCCTCACCCTTGCTCAAAGTGGAGATCACATGGCAGACCACACAGCCCTTGATGGAGCAGTCAGAGCTCACCATTTTCAATAGATGTGCACCAGAATTATATAAGTCCCCTGGAGCTAGTGCAGACAGAACTGGAGAAAAAGAACTCTGCTTTACGAAAATACAGAGAAAACTGTCACTCAAGAAGTTCAGGAGGCTACCTCCTTTAGAACAGGCCACTTACACACTTCTACTAAGGGAGAACTTCTTTGGTGATGGCACTGGCTGTGTTGAGAAACAGTTTATCTGTTAACATAGAGAAGGGGGGTTGGTAGTGAATTCTCCTTTTGGGTCCAGACTGTCCTTGACCAAATTCCTCTGCTTCAAGCAAGCTTATCTCACCATAACAATGATATTATGGGCTAGTAGACTGGTAACAGGATATTAATAGATAGAAATTCATGTCTAAGAAATTAAGAGAGTTTAAACCCATGCAGAAAGGATACTCTAACCCCACAGTCTGTGGCATAGACTGCTTCCTAAGTCTTATTCAGATAGGAATACAGGTTTTCCTTTTGGGGGGTACTTAGTTTTAAAGAACTTGATCAAAGTTTTTACCCCTTTTGGGAAAATGGAAACGTGCCCTTGGCTTACAGAATAGTGAAGCCCTTTGCTAGAGTTGCAGTGTGAATAGCTCAAGGAACACAAATCACTCTACTAGCAACTACAGATCCCATATTCTGTCCTACTGTATTCAGCTCCCAGCACTTGGGAAGAGGCAAACTTTCTCACCAGATAAAAGAGTTCCCAGTTTGTATCACTGGCTACTGAGAGAAATGGCTGAGAGAACATACTTCTACTAGCTCCCTCTCTTCTGGAAGCTCCTGAAAAAGATGCAGCCAGAGCCAGGGACAAAATAATTTCAACTAGTAGGAGAACCCTGGCTGGCATCTAAGCTGTGACACAGAGAGGAAGGTAATTAAAAATGGATCGAGTCTGACCCATTTTTAAAACCTAGAAGCCACTCACAGCTGCCTTTTGTTTTAGTCCTCGCCTGGAGTACCTCCTTTCTAGATACAGCAAATTTGGGGAAGGAAAAACAGAGTAAAATGGCAAATTGGTGCTAGAAAAACATCCCTGCTAGTCACAGATCTAGAACTGACCCATAGACTTCCTACTATCACCAAGGCAAGGAGTATGGCAATCTTCTATGTCAACAGGACATACATACATATACACTGTTGGCATAGAGAAGGCATACATATACATGTATATTCCGGTTGCCTTTCTCTTTAACTGACACTGTGCCTATTTTAATCTGATTCCATCTACAGGAGGGAATCAGTATAACAGAGACAACAGATTCTGATCTCCCACTTCTGCCATATGGACCCCACCCTGCTAGAGAGACTTTGCAGAGCACAGTACTGAAGCAGTAGGGGCAGGGCTGTTATGCTGCTGTCCTGGTCTCTTAGACTACTCCCAAGCTCCAGAAACAGTGCCCGAAGATTACACACACTGTAGTTATACAGAGAAACAGCTAGAGTGGGAGGGGGCAATTCCTTGCCTCCAACCCTGTGCACCAAAGATCATTCAGCCTTGCTCTCAAACCATCAGGAAGACAGGCAATGACTGGGCTACTGGAGTGTGTGTGCCTGCTGCAGGGCTCAGGAGCAGTTACCATATTCGATCTGTTTACTGTTATTTCACCTCATTCTCCTGAATGCCAAAGCTAATTAGACTTCCGGTCAATGCACCGAAGAAACACACTCCCCAGGCTGCCTGGCTCTCTGGGGTTCTTTAGTGTAGCACTTCTGACACTTGGCTGCAATGACTTTAAATAAATAGCAAAAGCAACCCAGGTCAGGACTGAACCATAAATGGGGGAGGGAAGCCCAGGAAGCTTTCAAAGATCCTTAAGTGATTAAAAACACATCTGTAGTTTGTTCCCCGTCTTATTTTGTTCATGGCATTTACGCCTCCTCCATCATGGTGGTTTACTTGAATTTCTCTACTCAAATGTAGGTTCTGGAAGCTGTGGACACACACCTGATCCTGCTTGTTCACTGCCATGCTTAGCAATAGCCTGCCAGCAACAACAACTCACAAAAAACTTTCCAATTAATATCTGCATTCCCACACGATTTTGAGATTTCATTCAGGCATCTGAGCTACCTCATTCCTTCCCTGCTTCATTCTCTTGAAAGTACAACTACAAAAGGGTGACCCACAAAAAAATCTATAAAACCAAGTTCCTAGTATATTGGAGTTCAACCAACTCTATGGTTCCTTTATCTCCAACTGCCACAAAGAATAGGTGGCCACAGACAGTGCCCCCCAAAACCCCAGTCAAAGAAAAAAAAAAAAAAAAACCACCTTCATGACAACATAACAGTCACATTCTGTTGACTCTGTCTAGATTGGCACACTGCCAAAAGGAAGGGGAGGGCAAAGTCTGAGGCTTGGTTTAATGTCTACAGTAGAAATGGTCATTTGCAGGTGTTTGTCAAATTCAACCTATCTATGGAAACTGGAGCAAGACAGAGTAATAGCACAGCCTGAAAACAGTGTGGGCTGGCTCTCCCCACAGGACTATCTTTAGTTCTTCCTTCTGTGTAAATGGGGCAGGAAGGGGCATTTAATAAACACGCTACTAGGTGAAACTGCTCTCCTAGCCAGGCAAAGCCCTCTTAGAGAGAAAAGAATGAGGTGCTAAGAGCCACTGTCTCCTGGGAATTACCTTGCTCATCTGTGCAACAAGGCCATAAGCAAACATTTCTCACCAATGCAAACAAACCAAGCAACTGCTAGGAGGCATTTAAAGAGTGATGGGTACATGATGTATCAAAACTTGTTTTTGAATACTGGTTACAGAGAAAATACATCCGCTACCTATTTATTAATTGTGTCACACACACTCAACCTCCTGGGAGTTATCAGGGGTGCTTGACATTGTGGTTTTGTGGTTCCTTACCCTTACATCAGCCCCTAAAAATCTTAACTACAGTGGTCCAACTGTTCTCTAAAAAAACATACCATGACAATAGGAGGAAGGGTTGATAGGTGATGCCATCCTCTTTGAGTATTTTTCTATCAAAGTTATAACTGCAGAAGGGGTCCTTCAGATGAGTTAGTTAAGGGGGCCACCTGGCAGATAGCTCAGCAGATAAAGGCACCTGCCTCCAGGCCTGACAACCTGAGTTTGATCTCTGGAATGGTATGGTGAAGGTGAACCTCCAAGTCATCCCCTTAACTCTATACACCGCCATGGCATGCCCTTTCCCAATAATAATAATAATAATAATAATAATAATAATAATAATAATAATTTTAATGGGATAAGTACTGCTCTGGAGGTCAAGGCACAAAGTGGCACTACCGGAAAATGCCCTTTTAGTCTCTTTAATATCGGCTAAGGCTAAGCCAGGGTCCTTAATCACCACCAGGGTGATTTTGTAGGGAGGTTGGCCAGGATTGGGGGGGAGGGGTGCGTAGTCAAACAAATCTGAGACTTAGGGAAGCCCTTGGGGCATAAGTTCAGAGAGGGGCTTCTTCACTTGAAGAATGCTTTTCGTCACCCCCCCCCCATGGCACACCCCTAAAAGCCCAAGATCAGAAAGTCTCCATTCTGTCAGGAACTGGCTGCAGGTCGACTTCGCGTTTCTGACGAGAGTTTCGTCAGCACAGAAGGGTCATGACCTCTGTTCCCCAGCCTGTCGTGGAGTTCGGAGGGGGCGACATGGGACGAAACCGCTGTGTCAGAGATGGACCCAGGCCGGAGTCCGCTCGGTGCTCCCACCCCGCAGTGTAGGGTCCCCTCACCTCCATCGGTTGATGCCCACTGACGAGGAGGCCGCGAACCACGGGTCGAGGATGTAGACGCAGCGCACGCACCGCGCACCGCGCACGGCCGCCAGCAGCGCGGGGTTGTCGTGGAGCCGCAACCCTTTGCGGAACCAGTGCACCGAGGACGCGCCGTCCGCGCCCATCGTCAGCGCGGGGACCGTCGCCGACACCACAGCTGCCGCCGCCATCGCCGCCCCAACTGGGCCCCGGGTTGCCGCTCCGCCCCTAGCCACACCGTAAGTCCTGTCCAGCGACCGCCCAGCGGCCTATGATACAGCGGATCCCCGGTATGGCTCCGCCCCCTGGAGCCTGACGCGCTTCTGTGATTGGATGGTACCCCTTCTCCACACTATTGGCCGGCAGCGCCGGCGCAGGCCCCGCCCCCTCACGTTCCCACCATGTGTGGTCCCCGCCCGGTAGCCACACGCCAGTGACGCAGGATGGCGCTGCCGCCCGCCCCGCGTGGGCTGAGTCTGGAGGGACCCCGGATCTCCTACGCGTTTCGCTTTCCCCGCCTGCTTCTGGGAAGGACAGGCAGGGGTTGCGATGACTCTGGCCGGTGGCTGACAGACCTGTCACCAGGCCCGTACTTGCGGTTCATCATACTGTTCACATGCCAAGTTGAGCAGTGATTGCCTTACACAAACTGTCCTATTTTCTATTCTCATCTCATCCCGGTTATGTTCATTCCACAAATCCGGATGAAACAGATGCTTGTTAGTCTTATTCTGCCGATGAGGTAAGCTTAGGGCGCCCCAGTTTGAATGGCTTGCGCAATACGGTGAATCCAGTAAGATTCCGCTCTGAAATTTCTGATTTCAAAACTTTTAACCCACTTCCCCGCAGAGAATCTTGGCATTTGCATACAGCAAGGCATAAGGATGAAGAAGCCCTTGTATGCGGCAGACGTGGGTTTGGGAGAAAGTGCAGGGGCTGCAGAGGATGTGGGTTGAGGCAGTAATTGTGCCCTCAGATGAATTTATTTTCATTTACTTTCTGTTTAGTCGACACAGTACCGTTATTGTGCACAACTCTGAACTGGATTCCATGTGGGAATCAGAGACGTGGAGGGCACCTACTTCTTTGGAAGCTCTACAATTCTTCGGAGGTTCTAGCACAGATTTGCTGATGGATCTAGTGCAGCAAATGTTGCATATGCGTTTGCCCTCAGATGACCTAGTTGGGCTGGAGTGCTGCTGCTGGAGCTATTAAGCGGAGAACTGTTTCGATTTGTCCTTGTGTTGATCGCATGCTTAGAACCCTTCCCTCACTCGGGAATGAGCAATGAAGGAATCTAGAATTTAGTCATCATTGTAATGGTGTTAATTGGCACCACTCTCTAGCCAGAGCGTCACTGTGATCCTCATTTCCAGGGCTCCGTACATACTGTTCCCTCACATAAATCACATGCCCTAGCCCACAGCCTTTGTCTCTCCTGTTTTCCCGGTGGCAGCTGTCATTTTCCAGCTTCCTGGACCCAGCCTGCATAGTGCCTCATCTCAGTTGGTGCTTTGATTGATCACTGGCTTTAGCTCACACTAGTGGAATTTCTTAGCTGTTGAATGTCTGCTCCATCACATTATAAGCCCAGATATGCAGTGGCCTTGGCTAAGTTACAGTCAGTGGCATTTCCCAAGTCTAGCTCAGCACTTGGCACTGAAGGATCATATGCATCAAGAGGAAGAGGCTTGGACTAGCCAGGGTCTCAGACTATCCCAGGGTCTGCCTGACCCTCACCCTTTGAATCTCCTCCACACATGCTTGATTAGTGAATTGATGTCTTCCACTAATTTTTAAAATGGCTTTTCATTACATTGAATTTCAGGTTTAGCCATGTGCCTGTGTATGTGCCCAGGAGTGCAGGTGCCCAATGGAGTCCAGAACAGAGTGTTTTCTGGGACTAGAGTTACAGGCTATTGCCAGCCTTTCAGTTGGATGCTGAGAACCATCCACAAGCCAGGTTCTCTGCAAGAAAAGTATACACTCTTAACCACCGAGCCACCTCTCTAGCCCCTCTTTCCCTTCCTTTGTATACCTTTCTCTTCTATCTGCTCAGGTCCCAACACCTGCCTGCCAGGAAGAGAATAGGAGAATAAGGAGGGGGTCTTTCAGGGGTACATTCTTCTTTTTCTCCTTTAGACTCCCATAATGCTATGTCTATAAACTGTAGCTTTCTGCAGTCAGGGACTGCCCCATCTTATTTATGGAGAGGCTGAACTCAGATTCCACTTGTTTCTCTTCTGTATGAGCCTGAACAAGCTAGCTGATTTCTCTGTTAGTTGTTATCATTTAATTTACTTTGTTTTTCTTATGTGTATGTTTGTCAGTGGATGCCATCACGTGGATGTGGATGTCAGCGAGGCCAGAAGAGGGTATTGCATCCCTTGGAGCTGGGTCTATAGGAGGTTCAGAGCCACCTGATATGGGTGCTGGGAACCAGACTCTATTTTTCTGGAAGAGCAGGCTCTTAGTTACTTGTCTATTGCTGTGACAAAACAGCATAACCAGAGCAACCTATAAGTATTTAATTTGGGGGTTCATGGTTCCAGAAAGTTAGAATCTATGACTGTCACAATGAGAATAGAAGCAGGCAGGCAGACATAGTACTAGGCAGTAGCTGGGGGCTTACATCTGATCCACAAGCAGTCAGAGAAGGCTAACTGGGAATGGCTTCAGCTTTCGAAACATCAAAGACCACTTCCAGTGACACACCTCCCACAGGGCCACACCTAACCCTTCCCAGATAGGTTCACCAACTGTGGACCAAACATTCAAATATTTGAACCAAACGACCAGAAACAAGTAGTTCTCTTAACCACTGAACCATCTCTCCAACTCCTGTTGCTTTCTTAATAGATGCAGGAGGAGTTGTAATAGTTCCTTGGGTACAGTGAGCAATTGCTATTATGCAGAGCAAGCTCTGCATCCAATTTTGCCTTCCTTGCATTTCCCACACCTTTCCTTACACATACCACATACTCCATAAATGACCAAGTAAATGAGACTTCTATTAATTAAAAAAAAAAAACCCTCAAAATAAGCCTAACAGCTCAGCGATTTCTAGGGACACTGTCCATAAACCTCAGAGCCAGAGAGAGGGGCAGTGTGGTTCTGATTGCTGGCCTGAAGCAGTTCCATCTTGCTATGTCATCATCTTTGTTTTGTGTGGCTTACGTATTCAGGTTGATAAGGATGACTCATTCCACAGAATGGCTGCCTAGTGCTTGGGTGAATTACCTGGGCAACATTCAAGGGCCAGGAAGTCAGTCTGGCACTTAAAAGGATACTGAAGGCAGAGTCCACTTTGGAGTTTTGTGCTTTAAATGAGTATAGAAGTACCAGAGTGAGGGCACACATGTCTGCACGTGACTAGAGAAGCGGATATTTGAATCTATTTCAACACCTCAGAGCTTCCCACCTTCCTGTTCATAAGGGCAATGAACAGCTGCTTCTGCTCCCACGAAAGGCAGACGAGTGAAGAGGAGGCATTGGGACTTCAGAGATATGACAGGTCAGTGAGTGTTGTCTGTCATCCCTGAAGATCTTTAAAGCAAATCAGTTCTGTTTTGTTGTTTCCTTTGGTCAAAGTCCTCTTTGGAGACGTTATTTGACAACTTTCTGTTTCGGACCTGTCCTTTGCGTAAATATCTAATGATTGGTGGAAAGGTGACCATGCAGAGGGCGGGACATAAATGGTGACTCTAAGGTGCTCACGCCCTCTAGTGGTCTGACTCAGAAAGCACGAGTCCATGGGGCTCCAGCCTTAGTGCAGCCACCCATACACCCAAAGGTAGTGACCATTTTGAGAAGGTAGCTGCTCAGCTTTTTGAAAGCACAGAGCATGACACCAGACTTAGTTTGGTTTACAGCTCCACCTTTAACTAGTAAATGGCTATTTACTTGGACAAACTTCTTAATTTCTCCATGCCCCAGTTTCTTCATTTGAAAAATAGACATGAAGAGAATAACAGGTGTAGCGTGAAAGCAAGGCAAATAGAAAAATTGCTCAAAATAGTTAATCCAGAAGCAGAACCATAAGACTTAGTGGATAGGTACTGAACTGTTGGTTGCTCTTGCAGGGAGCTCAAGTTTAGTCCTCTACACCCAACCCACATGGTTCACAGACATCTGTAACTCCAGTTCCAGAGGATCTATGTCCTCTTCTGGATTCTGTGGGCACCAGAAGAATGTAGTGCATAAATATACAGGCTGACAAAGCATTCAGTAACACAAAATAAAAATTTTGAACATTTTATTCATGACATGTCTTTGTGAAGTTGAGGGGGGTGTCCTATAATGATAATGGGTCAACCAGGTACCCAATGGGGGGGGGGGAGAAAGAAAAGAAAAAGAAAAAAAGAAAAAAGAAAAGGGAAACCAAAGAGAGAAACTTGACTGCATCAATACTCACACAAGCTGACTCTATGCTGGATGAGCAAACTAAAACAACAAATTTCTTGAACAAGACACGAAAAACATCCATTTAGCCAGGTGGTTGTCATGCATGCCTTTAATCCAGCACTCAGGAGGTGGAGGCAGGTGGATCTCTGAGTTCAAGGCCAGCCTGGACTACAGAGCTAATTCCAGGACAGCCAGAGCTGTTACACAGAGAAACCCCGTCTCTAAAAACCAAACCCAAAACAAACAAACAATAAAAAAACCCATATCCATTCAGGGAAAGTTTGGTAAGTTGGAAGTTTGAAACAGCATTAAAGTTTAGAACATCTGCTTATCAAAACACTAAGAAAGTGGGAAAAAATTTACAGAATAGAGAAGGATATGGGACCCTATAATCCCTAAGAAGCTCAAGTCTAAACCTGGAAGCTGGAATTCTAGCACACGGAGACCATGGAGCCCAAGTCCAGGGTAGTCTGGCTACACAGCAAAAAATTTAAATGAATGAAAGAGCTCAAATCTACAATATTGAAAGAATTCTCACAAACAAAATAGAGGCATACAGGGAGCCCCTATGAATGCCTCATCCAGGGACTTGGATATGCACTTCCTTTCCACACACTACCACCCCAGAGGATGGATGTTCAAGTAGACACTGGATGCACAGAAAGAGGCTCCCTATATTCGTTCATTGGGAAACACAAACTAAAACCACAAAAAATGCTACGACAGGCAAACCAGGATGGGCGAAGTTGGAAGACTGATAAAGTGCTGGGGGCAGCAAGGAACTGAAACACTGGTACACGACTGCTGGGTGTAACACAAGCTCTAACTGGCCTTAAAAATAAAGACCCA